GGTGAATTCTAAGAGGGAGGAGACTTCACAAGGGCAGGAGTCGCCAGGAAGAGCTCCCGGAGAAAGTCAGTTATGAGGTGGGAGCAGCTGTAGCAGAGCGGTAGATGCCACCATGGAAGAAGGTAGGTCTAAGGAGACTGGCTTGGAATGATTAAGAAAGAATTTTAAAGCCCTTGAGTGTGAGAACAACCTAAAGATGTTTCCCCAAGAACTCCCTGGGGGAGGAATGAGGTGACAGACATGATGTGGAGACTTAGACTCTCAGGAGTTGGGGGACTGGCAAGATTTAGATTAGGGCGTTAGTGCCCTGAGCTTCAGGGATCGTTCCATTGCTGAGCTGGGTAAACACAGGGAGGAGCACAGTATTCCTCTGATGTATAGTCACTGGCACTTGTCCACATTCGCTGTCTTGCTCAGTGTGTGAACAGTCAAGCTCAGTTCACACGTGGCCCACCACCAACTGGAAATAGCTTGCATTTAGTCAGTTGTAATGCAGCCACAAAACAAAACTTGGGTTGTTTTTGTCTGAAATTTGCCACATTAATACTCCAGAGCTGTTTATTACTAGAGCCAAGTTTTAAGATACCATATTTATAGTATCATGGAAAAGTGATTTCTCTGTGTAGCAGTTTTTACTAAGGAAACAATTTTGATTCTAACTGAACATTAAGTTGGCTGCTTCTGCAAGAACAGAGACTCAGCTTTTTATTTTTTTTTCCCATAGCTAGTTGACTTGAAACCAGCCTGTGTTTTCTCAAATATGGGTTTCTTTTGGTTTTGTCTCTCTGTCATTGAAAGAGTGAATTTGTTACCCTAGTTCTCTCACTTTAAGAAAAGCCTTCTCACTTGTCCTACAAAAAAAAGAAAAGAGAATCTGAGGGAAAAAAGTACAATCTTGAATTCTCCAGGAAAGTAAGCCAATTCAAAGGGGGAAAGATTATGAAACTTTGCCATTAGATATTTTTGGTAAAACCGTTTTTTGAAATTAAAAAAAAAAAACATTTCACAATGTGTGATAGAAACCACACTTCTGTTATTCACAAAACAAACTATGGCCCTTTTAGGGGAAGGCAGGTAACATGGAGTTTTTCATGGAACTTGATTGTAGGAAACATGGGATGAGAAAGAGTTCTGGGGACCCAACAAGAGAAACAGTTTGCTAAGAGGAACCTTTATAATCACGTGTCGGGGATGTGGCACCCCATACTCCCTCATCCAGCATTGCTTTCAGGGACGAGATAGATATACCGTAACGTAAGTGATCAGACTTTTGGAAGACACAGTATTTTAATTACTCTTCTCTGGGTATTCCAGTCACTTTTTTGAAAAACAGGCACAGCCATTATTTTACTGCTAATAGAACTTTTAAAAATTATGTGTGAAAAATTTTATCATTAATGTTTTTATTTTTAAATCAAGTTTTTTTCACAGATTGAGTATGGTATATTGATGCAATTCTAAGAATTTAATGATGTTCTCTCTTCCATGCTCCTTTCCTCCCCCTTTCTTTTTCCTATTTTTTAGTTTTTGAGATAGCATATTTTAAATTTACATTACAGTAAAAAGATTTAATGCTTCACTGAATAAAAAGTTTAACAAACAAAAAGTTAAAAAAAAAACTAGTGAGAATATATACAATGGCTATAAACAATAACTGGATGAAAAAATGGCCATGTCATCCATAAACAGTAAATTTTAAAGTAATTATTAAGGCTATCACAACATAACATTTATACCTTTGTCAAACTAGTGGTAAAGAATGTGTGGAACATTTTTAGAAGGTTTCATTAGCTTTACTTGAAAGGCGGATTTACAGAGAGAGATGTAGAACTAAAGACATCTTTCATCTGCTGGGTCACTCCCCAAATGGCCTTAACGGCTGAAGCTAGCTGGTCTGAAGCCGGGATCCAGGAACTTCTTCCAGGTCTCCTACATAAGTGCAGGGTCCCAAGGACTTGGGACATCTTCCACTGCTTTCCCAGGCCACTAACAGGGAGTTGGATTGGAAGGGGAATAACTAGGACTTGAACTGGCACCCATGTTGGATGCTGGCCCTGCAGACAGAAGCATAACTTGCTACAGCATGGCATGGGCACTAGGAAAATTCTAAACTTTTTTCTAACCTAAGTTTTTTTCTTACACTTTTAAAAAACATATTTATACAATTTTATTTATATATTTTTACAGATTAATTTCTTTTTGCTGGAAAGGCAGATCTACAGAGAGAAGGAGAGATAAAAAGAAAGATCCTCCATCTACTGGTTCATCCCCCAAATGGCCGCAGTGGCGGCTGGAGTTGAGCCAATCCAGGAGCCTGGAGCTTCTTTCAGGTCTCCCATGTGGGTACAAAGTTTTAAGGCTTTGGGCCATCCTCCACTGTTTTCCAATGCCACAAGCGGGAGCTGGATGGGAAATGTAGCAGCTAGGACACGAACTGGTACCTTTATGGGATGCCTGTGCTTGAAGGCTGAGGATTAGCTTGTTGAGCCAATGCCCTGGCCCCCAAATGTTTTTATTTATTTGAAAGAGAGAGAAACACATAGTGACAGATTTCCAATCAACTAATTCACTCCCCAAATGCCTGTAACAGTTGGGGTCAGATGAAATGAAGAGACAGGAACTCAATGAATTGAGTGATACTTGCTACCTCCCCGATTAGCAGACAGATGGAGCTACAATCAACCCAGAATCTCTGATATGGACGAGGGCATCCATACTAACAACTTGACTGCTGCACTAATGTCACTTATCATGTCTTTAATAAGAAACAAGAAAATGAGGAAAGATTTGAATGTATTCTGGTAATGTGGATATTGTAACAGCTTAGCAACTGTAGGAAAATGTAATCTGACTGGTAATGTTGCATATTCTCATTAGGAAAGGAAGAAATAATTGCAGTCACATCAAGCCAGTCCCTACCTTGTGACTTTTGCAGCTTCTCTTTCCTTTTCTGGAATATTTTTACTCCTTCTCATAGCTGGTATATTCTCATTGCTGATGAGGTACACCAACCCAAAAGTCATCTTCTGAGAGATTTTCTTGACTCTCAATGTAATCATTTCCTCCTACTGCAAATTCCTTTATCATGTTCTTAGCTTAAATTTCTTCTTTGTGCTTACCATGACCTGAAGCCTGTTTATGTACTTCTTTGCTGGCATATCTGTTTTCTTGCCTAAGTTGTCATCTACAAAGAGAATGGATGCTGCTGGTCTTTTTCATCATAGTAACCTGGTTGCTAAGAATTGATCTGAAAGGAAATGAGATTGCAGAACTCATATTTATGTAAACAAAAGAACTAAACAGGCAGACCTTTTTGAATGGCTTCAGTAAGTAATATAATTTGAAATGATTTTATAGTGGAAATTGCCACAATGTGCTGTCCTTGGGTACTGCGGCTGTTAGAGCTGTTTTTGTCAACATCAAAATTGTGGGAACTCTTCTTTATTACGTTATTCTATCTTTCTCCCAAGCCTAATAGAATGTAGGGAAGTTGAGAGAAAAAGATTTGAGTTATCGAGGAAAATTCTGTGGAAAGGAAAAAATTTCCTGTTTATCTCCTTTGTAGGATCTATTTGTTGTGGTCTATTAAAGCAACATTTGTCTTTAATATAATTCTGATATTGGAATGTTGAAAAATTATTTGAAAGGAGGAGGAAGAAAAGGAGGAGAAAGTGAGAAGGAAGGAGGGAAAAGGGGAGAGAGAAAGAAGGAAAGAAGGAGAAAGGAAGGAAGGAAAGGAAAGGAAAGAAGAGCAAAGGTACTTCCATGCCCTGGTCCACTCTCCAGATGCCTGCTGTGCCTGCGGCTGGAGCTGGGAGCCAAGAGCTGGGAACACAAGTCAGATCTTCCTGGGTGACAGGAATCCAACTACTTGTATCATCATTGCTGCTGCCAAGGGTCTGTGCTGGTGGGAAGCTGGAGTCAGGAGTCAGAACCTTAACATGAACCCAGGTCTTCTGAGAAGAGATAGGGGCATCTTAACTGCTAGGCTAACTACCCGGTTGGTTCCCTGCTGGAGCTTTGTTATGTCCCACGACAGGGTGAGACTAACAACAGAATGGATAAGATAATGTGAATGATGACTTGAAATGCTCAAAGAAGTATGGTTTAAATGTAAATTGCATGTTAAATCAGAAAATGTCAATGTGATTGGATTTTTGATGATACATTTGTAATACTTTTTAAAAAAATCTTAAACATTTTGTGGTAAATGAGGAATGAGGTAAATTAAGAATGAGGAAGTTTACACTTGTTTGTTGTTGTTTTGTTTACTTGTATTGCTATGGGGTGCAGCCAGTGAGCCAGTGACAGGCACTAGTAGGCAGGCAAGATGAGTTAATGGAAGGTTAAGTAAGTGTATGGAAATGGGCCTCAGAAGCTCTGGGTGCTCTATGCCTCTTGCCTTCTTCCATTCAAGTTTAAATAAATTAGCCTCAGGGGAAGCCCTCAGTGGCTCTGACCTCTCCCTTCCAGTCTTCTGTCGTTTAAGTTAATTACAAGTTTTGTACTACATGCTCAAACTTTGTACTGTGTGCCTCTCAAACTAATTGAAGGATGCTTAAAAGCCCCTGACTTGTACCACTCAGTGCAATGCTTCGGAGTGCAGCAGGAGCTGCTGTCGCCAAGCTTCAGCAATAAAGACTCCTCCTAACATCTTACACTAGTGTCCAGGGTGATCTCTCTGCAACAATATTGATAAATCTGGATGATTTATAAACAAACTCCCAACTTGAGACTCTTTCTTTTCATCCTTTCATACTAATCACTGACCTAGTTTTGTCCACTATTCTTGCCATAGCCACCAATTCAACCTTCACTTTGAACACAGTGAAAATATCTTTTTGTTTGAATTATTTACCAATTATTTTTCAAGTAATTCCTGGACAGTGATGGGCTATTATTTGTTTCTAATGTCTCCAGACAGCCATCACAAAGCCACACAGAAAGGGGAGGGAAATGAACGTTGACTTGTGTTGACATTTTCTTTTTCTTTGTTTTAGGTTTTGAATTTAAGAGATTTTGTCGCAAAAATATCTTGGCCATCCTTGGCTTTTCCTCTATCATGGCTGTTGTAGCTTTGATTGCTGTGGGGATATCCCAGCACAAACCTTTGCCAGAAAATGCTAAGGTAGGTCAAATTTGTGTGTGTGTGTGTGTGTGTGTGTGTGTGTGCGCGCACAGGAAAATAAGAATGTATGAGAGGAAGTCCTCTTGCATTTGAAGATGATGAGCTGTGAGCTTCAATATAAGGATGTATAAGCTGGGTCTCTGAGCCTTTTGCCACCTACCCAGATCAGTTGCTGTACAGCAGAGGCGTGGGTATTACATAGGCATCCTTTTGTGGTATCAAGTTCAACCCAGTGGAGTTATGCACAGCAGCCCCTTTGTCAAATCAGAAAACTGATGCTAACTCATTGCCAATGGTTTCTTGCCTTCTAAAGTTAAGTGATGTTGGTTCTCCTGGCAAAACTTCACTCGCACTTGAAGCCCCATGATTCTGCTCTTTGTTTACCAGCTCTGAAAGTACATGGGTGCCTTTTGATTTGACCTTTTAGCATGTAGGTCAGAATTGCATCACTGGAGAGAGAGACTGCCTAGGAGGCAAAATCCATGACAGATTGGAGCTCTGTGTTTCCAATGAATATTTGTGGTCATGGATGCCCTTCTCTTGTTCACAGTGGTTTTCTTCAAGTCTGTTGTGCTTCTATTGTTATGGCCTGGCAAAATGAAACAAGATCTTTGACATTCTTTAAATAAAAGCTATGAGTATTTGAGAAGTAGCCACTGGCATCTTGATGGTAATGTCACTAATATATTTTGCACAAAGATAACTTCAATGTGTAAAAACAAGTCATTTGTTGAAGTTATTCCTTATTTTTAGTAAGATTCTTGACATCCAGTTGTTTTGGGAGTGACAGATTTTAGGAACTTGTTTCCTGGTGACAGGTGTAAGCTGTGCTGTTCAACTTGGTGGCTACTATGAAGATCTTTCAATTTATGCTAATTAAAACTAAACTAAAAATTTCTAGTCGTACATAGCTGTGTTTTAAGAACTCAACAGCCACTGTAGCTAACAGCTGCTATATTGGACAGTACAAATATATAACATTCATATCACTGCAGAAAGATCTGTTGGAAATTGCTACTTTAGAGGATTCTCTAACACAACAGCTCTAAAATAATTTAAAACTAAGCTTAATGAATGGGATAAACATTTTGTAAAATCTGAGAAGGAACAAAAGAATGAGACTTTGCAACAAGATTCACTTATGTGAAAGGCAGAATAATAAGAGAGAAAGAAGATAAAAAGAGAGCTCTCCCGTCTGATGTTTCATTTTTCAAATGTCAGCAACATCTAGGGTTAGGCCAGCTTGGAACCAGGAGTCAGGAACTTTAACTTGCTCTCCCTTGCAGTGGCAGGAACCCAAGTACTTTTGTCCTCCTCTGCTGCCTCCTACATGCAGTAGGGGGAAATTGGTTCAGAAGCAGAGTAAACAGGACTCAAGCCAAGCACTCTAACATGGGATACAGCTGAGTTCCAAGTAGTGGCTTAATCACTGCTTCACAACACTCACCCTGACACTTTTTCTTGTGTAAACTGTAACTTAGTACCAGGATTATCCCAAATTATCATGGTCGATCAAACTTCTTGAGTAATTTGTTGGAATATATGTATAGTTGTCCTTGATTCCCACAGGTAATTGGTTCCATAAAATATCCTGTAGATACCAAAATGTTGGGCCTGGAGTGATGACTCAGTGCCTAAATCCTCACCTTGCACATGCTGGGATCCCATATGGTTGCCAGTTTGTGTCCTAGCTGCTCCACTTCCCATCCATCTCCCTGCTTGTGGCCTGGGAAAGCAGTCAAGCATGGCCCAAAGCCTTGGGACCCTGTACCCATGGCTCAGACCCAGAAGAGGCTCCAGGTTCCTGGCTTCAGATTGGCTCAGCTCTAGCCGTTGTGGCCACTTGGGAAGTGAACCAGCGGATGGAAGATTTTTCTTTCTGTATCTCCCTCTGTAGATCTGCCTTTCCAATAAAATTAAATAAATTTTAAAAGATACCAAAATGTTATAAAAAGTTAAACGGTGTTTTTTAATATAATATAATTCCATGAATATCCTCTCATATACTTCAGGATATCTCTAGATTATAATATCCAGTACAATGTAAGTGGCATGTTCATAACTGGTATTCTATATTGTTTAGGGAATAATGACAAGAAAAAGAATGTACATGTTGAGTACAACATAGAGGGTTTGGGGCTGGGATGGTAGTATAATATGCTAATCTTCTGGCTGCAAGCAGTGGCATTCCATTTAGGCATCAATCCCTGTCCGAGCTACTCCACTGCCCAGTAGATGTATTATGCAGGCTCAGCCATGTTTTAAATCTTCCAAGAGCCACATTAAAAAAAGTAGAAGGAAAGAAGCTAAATTAATTTTAATACTTTATGTAATATGCATCTAGAATATTGCTTCAGTGCTTCACCCAAGTAAATTATTAATGAGACATTACAATCTTTTTTCCAAACTGACTTCAGATTCCAGTACAATTCTGAGCTAATAGCATGTTTCAGTTATACTTGTCACATGCTTGGCAGCTGGTTAGTGGCTACTCTTATTAACACACATCTGTTCAAGGTTTTGTCTCTGATGCCCTGAAGCTTTAGCAAGGAATGAGGTCATCTAGGAGGGGAACTTCTTGCTGACAAGATTAGAGGGTCCAAAGTGAGTCATGATGAATTCTGTCATCTAAAGATTTGGACAGTGAAGGAATGTGTCGCAAAGTGTAAAGATAAGATAATATTTTATAGCCTGTGAATAATAAATATAAATAATTTCCATATATATTTTTGCTGTTTCTTCCTTCCCAGAATGCTGGAATGAAAGGTTACTCCTATTTTATAGATAACAAGAGTCTTAGGGGTTCTCTTATCCCAGGTGGAGATGGTGCTAAGACTAGAACTGAGTTTTCTGACCAAAAAGCCAATAATGGGCTTTTTTTCCTATTTGTCTTATTGAGTTTTTACAAACAACACATGCTGCTAACAGTAAATACATGCAGGATGTTTATTTTGGGAAGTGATCCCAAGGAAACAGAAAGAGGGAAAAGCCACCCAAAGAGCTAGTCAGGATCAAATTACCACATTGGGTAATTGAGGCTTAATTTAGTGGTGCCCTTCTGAAGAGCTATGGAAAATGAGCCTCAGGACTGTTTCCCTGAGGGATTTACCCCCTGGTTCTCACTCATTGTTGGTCAAGGAACGCCCCTTTCAGAGATAAATGTCTCTGGCACTTGCAGGCTTGTGCATATGTCAGAGGGGTTATGTCAGTACCACATATGGCCGGCCTACTAGGAAACAGGACAGAAAGGCCTGGGCAAAAACAGAGACCAGACTGCTGGAATGAAAGTAAAAGCTATCCAGGAAAATGTGAAGTGGCCACAGGAGGTATCCAAAGTATCACTGCACCTATTGCTTTTTGTAGGAAAGCGAGAGAGAAAGAGAGAGAGAATGAATTAGGAAGTCTGGAGAACAAACGCACCATGTCTGATCACACAAAGAATTCAGAGGAAGTGGCCTTGAAGCCAGGTCTTAAGGAACAGAAGAACTTGGCTACAAGGCCTGGTAGGACACATTCCAAACAAAAGCTACTCTGTGTGTTAGACAGTGGCAGTTTGGAATTGCAAGTGGTCTTTGGGAAATCAGCAGCTGTGGATATGGCTGTTTACCATGAAGGCTGGAAAGAATGGTAGGGAGATGAGCTCAAAGTCTGAGCACGGTGTGCCCAGCTCAAAAGTGGGCATTCATTCAGCTATCACAGTGCTCATACTTCCAAGGAAGTTTCTTCCATAGGGCATTTCTAAAAACTACTAATGTCTTGGGGCAGGTACGGTGGTATATAGGCTAGGCCTTTCTATATGGGCACTGATTCATGCCCCAGCTGCTCCATTTCCGATCTGGCCCCCTGCTTATTGCTTCAGAAAGCAGCAGAGGATAGCTCAAGTGCTTGCACCTGCACCCATGTAGGAGCCCAGAAAGAAGCTCTTGGCTCCCAGCTTTAGCTGATGTCAGGTGTGGCCATTGCAGCCAGATGGGAAGTGGGCCAACAGCTGGAAGACTCTCTGTTGCTCCTTCTCTTTGCAAATTTGCCTTCAGATAAAAATAACCCTTAAAAAAGTACTAATGTCTAGATAACATCCAAGGTCAGGACCCAGCATGGTAGCCTAGTGGTTGAAGCCCTTGCCTAGCAAGCACCGGGATCCCATATGGGTGCTGGTTCTAATCCTGGCAGCCCTGCTTCCCATCCAGCTCCCTGCTTGTGGCCTGGGAAAGCAAAGACGGGCCAAAACCTTGGGACCCTGCAACCATGGGAGACTCAGAAGAGGCTCCAGGCTCCTGGCTTCAGATTGGTTCAGCTATTGCCATTGCGGCCGCTTGGGGAGTAAATCAATGGAAAGAAGATCTTCCTCTCTGTCTCTCCTCCTCTTTGTGTATCTAACCTTCCATTAAAAACAAAAAATAAATCTTTGATTAAAAAAAAAAAGCTACTCATTTAAAAAAAATCCAAGGTCAACTAGTTCATTCTGGAGATGAAGGTAAAACCCAGACATAGGTGTGGTTCTAGTGAGTATTCATGATTGAAAAATATCACTTTGAGGGATGTCAAACAGGGAGATGTTACAAGTTTGTGCTCCTAAGATTGCCCTTGGCTGGAGAGCAGTAGAGGAAGGGTGACCAGCTAAGATGATCCCGCTGGGCACAGGCAAGGCACAGGAGACCAGAATTAAAGCACTGTCTGGGAGTGAGTGAAGCACAATTTGAACATCACTTGGGTTGACCAGATTTTTCAAGAACGTTTTAATATCAAGGTGGGACACCCTGGAACTGCAATGGTAACAAAAAGCTTCTTTTCCAAGATGGTGGTAGCACCAAGTCTCTGCTGGCACAACTTCAAAGACTTTTAGCTGTTTCTCTCCCCTCTGAACCATTATCCTTGTCCTCAGGTAGGGAAATTATCCTGCCTACCCTACAGCACCATGAGCCATGGACTCACAACACCAGGGACTAAACCTCAGCCCTATTCTTGTCATCTAACAATTTATCTGTTTCTCAGTTTCTCTG